GTGGAGCTCCCGATGGGGCCACGAAGCGCTGTACGGGGCGTGCGGGACGCAGGCGGACGGTAGCACTGGGGCCGTCAGTGGAGCTCCCTACGGGGCCACTAAACGCTGTACTGGGTGGGAGGGACGCACGCGGGCGGTAGCACTGGGGCCGTCGGTGAAACTCCCTATGGGGCCACGAAGCGCTGCACTGGGTGGGGGGGGGGAAAACATGCGGGCGGTAGCACTGGGGCCGTGGAGCTCCCTATGGGGCCACGAAGCGCTGCACTGGGTGGGGGGAACGCATGTGAGAGGTAGCACTGGGGCCGTCGGTGGAGGGACGCATGCAGTAAAAAAGGCAAAAAGGCCAAAGTGGCTGGTGGCGCATGTAAGGCGCAATCCGTTTGGCGGGCGTGTCGGATTGTGGTCGCCTTCGCTATGTGTCTTCAACTCCCAAAAGCAGCGATTACACTTAGAGGCCCTTGTTAAGATTCTAAGAGACTGGCTTTGCGTCAAGCAGTCATTCGTTCACGTTGGGTGCCCCCTGGTAGGGTGCACTATGGTTCCCTGTGCAGGGGCCGTTACCGCTTGGTTTTCTGTAGTCAACGCCCCACGGCTCCCTGACTAAGATCCCACGTCGGCATCAAGCAGCCGTCCCCGCCCGCTGCCGTGTGGTTGGTGCCCCATTGCTCCCTCAAGGGATCGCTGTGGGCCACCATGGGCCGATCCCGCCTGGTGCTTCATGCTTGGTGCCCACCAGCTCCCCGACTGTGGCCCCGCGCCGAAATCGGCTGCTCCCGCTCGGTGCTCAACGGTTGGCGCCCTCTGGTATGGCACCCCGCGGACCGCAGGTCGAGCCGGCCCCGCTCGGAGGGCCGCAGTGGCTCGGTGCCCCGGTGGCCGGTGACTGCCGGCGCCATACGGCAAGGGCGTTGGACAGGGAACCACGGGACAAGGAACCCAGGGTCTGGAAGCCGCCAGAACTCCAGCTGAGGCCTGGCCACGGCTGTCGCCGCCGCCCTCGTCAGGTGAGGGGCCCTCCAGGGCCCGAAGCCTCCAGAGCACACTCCTGAACGAACGCCCCGACCGTACAAGTCGTTCATTTCTAATCGTGCTCATTTCTAATTGCGCTCGTTCCGAATTGTTCCTGGCCCCCTAGGGGCCAGGAAGAAATCCAGGATAGAAGAATTAGAATTGAAAGGATCTTGGCCCCCCAAAAATCGAAGAACCTTCGAAGAATTAGACACGAACAATGTGCATAGTTGGTGTCCCATGGTTCCCCGGCTCCCCGTGGGCTGCGGCGGGCTGTCCCCGCTCGGTGCCCCATATGGTCAGCGCCCCGCGGTGCCCTGCCTGGGAGTCCCTGTGGGTCACCGTCGGCCGTTCTCGATCGGTGCCGCGGTGCCCTGCGGCGGGCGCCGTTCGCGCCCTGGCGTCGGTCAGGTGGTCCAGCCGATGCAGACCAGCTGGCCAGCGCTGCTGCGCAACCCCCCCGCGCGCGCACGCACGCGCACGCCCACGGCGCTGCCACAGAGCGGGCGTCCAGCTCCGCTGCGCACGTTGCATCCACGACCCGATGGGCACGTCAAATTCCGTCTCTTGGTCCTCTTCTTCACCTGAGAATCTGCTCCTCCGCATCATCCGCCTCTTCACCTCCTTGCTTCCTGCGCGCGCCAAAAAACGCACCCACAATGCCGCAGTGCTTCAAACGTGTGGTCAACCTGTTCAGTCAGGGATGAGGCACAAGGGAGAAAGGCGGGTGCGAGGAGCGAGGGGCGAGGATCGATGGGAGAAGTGCCGAGGAACGATGAACGAGGAGCGAGGGACCGAGGAAGGACGAGCGAAGGAGCATTACCAGAACCACCACCATCACAAGAGCGATAAGGACCAGCGAGGGGGGAAAAAGGAGGAGGAGGAGGAGGAGGAGGAGGAGGAGGAGGAGGAGGGAGGAGGGAGAAGGGGAGGAAGAAGGAGAGGAGGAGGAGCAGGGGGAGGATTAAAAGAAGGAAGAGCACAAGGAGGAGGAGAAAGAGGAGGATGGGCAAGAAGAAGAAATAAAGGAAGAGGTGGAGGCGGAAGAGACGGAGCCGGAAAAGGAGAAGGAGACGGAGCGAACAGGAGGAGGAGACAGAAGAAAAGTAAGAAGGATAAGTAGAAACAAAGAGAATGAGGAGGGGGGATGGGGAGGAGGGCGCGCATTACCGAGGCGATTTAGCGACGGCCCAGTAGATGCATGGCCGCGAATGAGTAGCGGCAAGAGGCAGCAAGTAGGAGACATTAAGCGGGTGGCGACGAGCTCCGAGCAGCCAACAATGCGCAGAAGCAAAAGACGCACTTGTGAAGTACGCAGCTGATTCTCCCGTAGCTTTTCCAAGGCAAGCATCACATCCACATGATTACAGGCAGTAGGAAGAGCGTGAGTGTGGTGACGATCTAAACAATCGCCGCAAGTGGCACAGGCGCGTTGTAATGCAAATCCGCCAGGCCTGAACTTGAAATGCAGAGCGAGCCAGCCTGACGTAGGCGGGCGCTTGCAAGAAACCGTGGCCTGGGAGACAGGGCGAAGTTCGGTGACAACTCATGGAAGCCTGAAATGCCATCTTGCTGGCTCTTGCGAGTCGACGCTAACCGACGCAAACGACACGAATCGACGCTAATCGACGCTCATCGAAGCTAAATCGGCGCTTTCTCGTCGATTACCAGACGTAAGCGCACACGATTGCATTGTAAAGACGGAAGTGGAAGACAAACAAGGCTCACATGATAGTGCCACCGAAGCTAAGAATGCTGTGTTTGCGCATCCCCGGAGGCCTGAGCGGCCAGCGAGAAAAATTGCCATGGGCCGGTGAGAGAAACGAGCAGCATCAATCGGCGGCACGCATGGGCGAGTGGGGCGGGGAAGGTGGCCTTCTCAAAGGGCAACGGGGCTTCATGGAAGCCCCCTATCTTCCAAGAGGACGTGAATTGTATACACTTCTCGACTTGTGCGTGTCATCCTTGCGCAGGGGACATGCGAATCTTCTCTGTATCGTTCCAATCTTAACGGATGATCCCCGAAGGGAATCCCTTCCAAGAGGACGTCGTTGAACCCTTGAGAGAAGCCCCTGCCCTCTCAGGAGGCCGCCCCCCTCGCGCCAACCCCATGGGCGAGCCGCCAAGCGAGACGAAAGGCGGCGGCCACAAACATTGCCGAAGACAGATGCGGGAGGCGGAGATGATGGGCACATTTTCCACCGCCACTACCATATGTAGGATGGGGAGGTCCTCCTCCTCCTCCTCCTCCTCCTCCTCCTCCTCCTCCTCCTCCTCCTCCTCCTCCTGCTCCTGCTCCTGCTCCTGCTCCTGCTCCTGCTCCTGCTCCTGCCCCTGCTCCTGCTCCTGCTCCTGCTCCTCCTCCTCCTCCTCCTCCTCCT